TGCACTAGACAGTCAACGCCCATGCACTAGACAGTCAACGCCCGTGCATTAGACAGTCAACGCCCATGCACTAGACAGTCAACGCCCGTGCATTAGACAGTCAACGCCCATGCACTAGACAGTCAACGACCGTGCACTAGACAGTCAACGCCCATGCACTAGACAGTCAACGCCCATGCATTAGACAGTCAACGCCCATGCACTAGACAGTCAACGCCCGTGCATTAGACAGTCAACGCCCATGCACTAGACAGTCAACGCCCATGCACTAGACAGTCAACGCCCATGCACTAGACAGTCAACGCCCATGCACTAGACAGTCAACGCCCGTGCATTAGACAGTCATGCTGAGTTATTGATAAGAATCTTTTTTCCGCATCGGACCCCAGAAACCCGTTAAGTCAGATCATTGGCCGGGTCACCGACAATAGTATAGCTTTGGTCACTGGTCAGGCAACAGGTCAGGTTCCAGTGAAGGTCCCTGGTCGGGACCCTGTTAAGGCCAAAGGTCAGTCATTGATCAGGTCACATCAGGGCGTATCAAGTCAGGCCATGATGTAGGGGCGCAGTCGGGCCGCTCTTTGTACCAAGTACCAAAGGTGACATCTTTAAAGAATGATGGATTATAGCTAGTCTGAGCCAGCAAGTTCTGCGTTTTATTTAATACTGACACGAAAATAAACGAACGTCTCGGGTGTGGCTAATGCGATAAATTTAAATATAATTTTGAGGGGAGGGGGAGGTTTGGGGGGGGGGAGTAGTTCATAAACCGCAGCTTTTAAAATATTTACTCAATTTTAACCTTTTAAAATTAGGCTTCGGAGAAAAAGAAATAAAACAGATGAGAATTGCCAGGAACTTCAACATGTAACTGGAGGGACTACTTCAGAAGGTACTAGCACATTTCTTTGGGATTATCTCCCCTGCATGTTTTTTTTTTTAGCGCAGTAGTTCGCCTTTTCATCATTTATGACTAGTAAAATAAGCTTATAAAATAATTTCCTGTGACTTCTTTTCGACTTGCATCTTAAATTAAATATGTTATCACTACCAAGTTACGTTGCTTTTACGTTCAATGTTTAAACTGTAGGAATTTGTCACTGCCTGATAGCAAGATAAGTACTTTGATTTGTAGGCTTCTGTTAGTAGATGCATTCCTATTGTCACTGTTGACCATGTCGTCTAGATCGATGGTTTATCTACTCGATATGTATGTTGACAATTGATGTTGATGCTTCCAGATGGGCAAGCACTTGTAGACTCTTCAAATAATGATGGAGTTGTGGACTCGTCAAATAATTATGAAGTTGTAGATTCTTCGACTAATGATGGAGTTGTGGGCTCTTCAAATGGTCCTTTCCCCTTTGAGAACCTTGTCTTTGAGGGTGGTGGAAACAAAGGCTTGGCCTATGTTGGGTGTTTGCAGGTAAAACAATTTCCCGGCTCACTAACTAATCTCTAGAGACAATATAAGAACTTTACCGGGAGGAATGTGGAGTTGCAGGAAGTAATGGCATTTTGTGACTGGAATCATTAGCATTTTTAGGGGCAAATTTAGTATTTTATAATGAAGCGTAAGCAATAATTCTTTTAATGATTTAAATGATTATGATCAATCATTCCTCAGTGTGTTTATGCGATCTTTTCATTAGTCATCAACTTAATTTGTATTGCTATTGAGTTTTAATCTCACTGTCATTTCTTACAATGCTTCACATTTCATTTCTACTTCATATCTCGACAGTACTTAGAAGAGTTGAACGCCATGAAGCACATTCGTAGGGTCGGTGGCAGCAGTGCAGGGGCGATAACTGCAGCACTGGTGGCCCTCGGCTACACCTCTGAAGAAATCGAGGGATTCTTATCTGAGAATGTTCAAGAGATTTTTCTGGGTAACTATGAAATATAATTTTTTTATCAACAATGATCAAGAGGTGGGAAGGGAGTGGTGGATAATGTAAGTGTTGCTATAAAATCTAAACAATAAATTTATAGCTCTTGAACAAGAATATGAAATGGAAAACTACGGATTCCACGAAATATTACAACTGTCGATGAATTATTTGTTTTAAACTAAGTTTTATTCCTATTAGATAGAGCACTGTTTAACCTTGAGTTTTGAGCACAGCTTGGGAACCACTGAGCTAGAGGGTTTAAAATTATCTAGGCTTGGTGACACTCTGAACTTATAAACTTAAGGGTTAGAGAATATCTTGTTAGTCAAGACAAAAATTCTGAACTTATAAACTAGAGGGTTAGAGAATATCTTGTTAGGCAATAAAAAAATTCTGAACTTATAAACTAAAGGGTTAGAGAATACCTTGTTAGTTAAAGAAAAAACATTCTTACCTTATAAATTGGTGTGTTAGCGATTATTTAGCAATTGTTAGTAAGAAAAATAATAAGAATAACTGATCTGTTCTTGTGCTGCTATCACTGCTAGATCATTCCTGTGGCTACCTGAGCCTGCTCCCAAATCTTATCAGGAAGTTTGGATGGAACCCTGGCAAAAAGATTTTCAAATGGTTTGGAGACAAAATTAAAAACAAATCGAATACGAAAAATCCTGACATGACCTTCTTAGACGTAAGAGATGTATTGTTGTGTTTATTGTCATGTTATTTACGCCATTATTGATCATGTTCATTAAAAGGATTAATATGTAAAGTAATCAAAAGCCTCACCTTGACCTTGTTTACTGCATTCTGAAAGTTTACGGTATTTCCAGCTCTAAATTGTTTTCATATTTACCATCAAATCAGTGGTTAAGAAATAGCTTCATAATGTTTTAAATTAATATTGAAAAATATATTGAAACAAGTATTTATTGATACATTTACTGTGGTAGTTGTAGGACTTAAGATCTGTTTCTAGCAAACAGACAGTCCCTATCTCGGCCAATACAGTATCTAAGGTTGTAAATCTACCACTGCCGCTGTTTTAATTTGTCCCCCTTTCTTTTCCACTGGCGACATTTACAAAACTTTCTATGTCATGGTCCATAATTCCCCCCCCCCCCACTCAATAACCATCTACAATTTTTATTTTTCCCCCCTTCTTTTCCCCTGGCGACATTTACAAAACTTTTTATGTCATGGGCCAAAATTCCCCCCCCCCCCCACTCAATAACCATCTACACTTAGCACGATCATTTTTTGCTAAAAGTCTCTTTTCATTAACATTTTTTAACTGTAAAATGTTTCAAATAAGTATAATGGCGATCTATATTTAAAAATTATTTTTAAAAATTTTTTTTAGAGACAAGCACAATTATGTACGTCATGATATGTGGTTAAAAAAAAAAGATATTTTCACGAATTCCCTTACTGCTATAATTTAGTTTGTTCAAAAAGAGATGGTTAAGTGTTTTACAATTACTCTCAATGAATTTTAAATAAGTCCACCATCGTTTTCAACAATTGGGATTTAAATTTAAAAAAAAAAAAAATGATTTTTTCTTGAAATGAATGTTTAGCTGTATAAAGAAAGGAATCACATGGAACTTTGTGTTGTTGTGACAAATATAACCCAAATGAGGACAGAGTATTGTCACCCTAAAACTACACCAGATATGCCCATTAGAGTTGCACTTCGAATGTCTATGGCCATACCAGGTAGATGCCCGTACAGTAGGCTTTTGAAAACTCATTAATTATGTTAATAAATTTGTCAGTCATTAAGTACGTCAGCCATGCGGTATGTCAGTCATGAGGTATGTCAGTCATAGGGATGTCAGACAATAAGTATGTCATTCACCTAGTATTTCAAACATTTTGTATATCTGTTACCGAGTTAAATGTCTCTGAGTTTATCGGTCATAGAAATGTATATAAGTTATCAATACATCATTTTAAAGTTAACTATTTTGGGGTGAATTTAAAATACAAATATTTAAAGCCATAAATCATATTAAAATTCTTATTAAAAAAATCTACGAAAATTTCATTTTAATCATATAATTAGAGATTTTACAACAGAACAAAAATTTACTAAAATATATTTTTGTTATCATTACCTCTACTAAGTTTTAGCTTTACAGTTTTTTTTTGTTTCAATATTGTAATCCATTTTGTCATACTCCATTAAAATGATATTGGAATAGCGTCATTTATTTTTATTTTTTTACTCAATGTACTTTTGAGAAAGATCTCAGCAAATTTCTAAATTTAAGCAATTATTTTTGCAGGCATATTTGCTGCTAGAAAATATGAGAGCCACGGCCAAAGTGACTTGTATGTGGACGGTGGGGTGTTATGTAACTATCCCATACACTGCTTTGATGGTAAGGTCTGGAATAATAGTCTTAGATCATACTGAGGGAGCCTTTTAATTTTATTGTTATAAGTTTTGACCATTCTAGTTTGACCCAGATGGAAATTCACCAGGTAGTCAGAGGTTCGGGTAGGTAAGAAATCGGATTATTTGGACACGCGACCGGGTGAAGTTTTGATAATAAGATAATATGTACACTGGTTGGCATTATCCTACTTATCGAAATATAAAGATATAAAAATATTATATATAATAGCAACTATAGTATTGCTTGACCTTAAAAGTTTAGTAGAAATGTAGCGTTGATTTTGATTCAAAATGCCTTTATGATGACTTTTGAATGCCTTGCTGTGTGTGCATTACACATGGGTAGGGTGCAAGGAATTCAAACCTCCATAACAACTTTTGAAACTATCAATTTTCTAAACTGAAACCAGATGCTATTATTAAAATATATGACTGAGACAAATACATCTGTAGCTAACAGTTCAATCAATAAATTATAATTATTTTTTAAACGTAAATAACTGAATGTTTGTATATTGAATTTAGCTGTTAACATGCTCATAGTCCATATATATTGTGCTTTTAATATAAAAAAATATGTCATTTAAAAAAAAAAAAGCTTTTCTTATTTATTTAATAACTAATGAGTGCGAGTGTTAATTTAATTTTTTTTTCTTAATGATCATAGAACAGTGGTTCTTAACCTTTTTGGAGGTACCGAACCCCACCAGTTTCACATGCGCATTCACCGAACCCTTCTTAATAGAAAAAATAAAAGATGATTTTTTTTTCTGATTTTGTTTGGACCTACGCCGAACCCTTGAGACTGACTAACTGAACCCCTGGGGTTTGATCGAACCCAGTTAAGAACCACTGTCATAGAACCCTGACAGACAACTCATGTCTATGCTCTCAGGTTGGTATCTGTCAATGCAAGCATCTGACAGTTTCTTTGCGCGGGTTGACTCTCCTTTCAACTTTATGGACAAAAGCAGCTTTGAGGGTGTCAACAAAAAGACACTTGGCTTTTTGCTGGTAAGAAGCACGAAATGTAAATAATTCATTTAAAAAACATCTTAGTTGTTAATCTGAATGCGGCTGATGCGGTTTAATTAATGAGCAGTCTCTGTAAGAGAACTTTTCATTTAAATAAGTGCTGAGGCTTGTCAGAAATATTTTTTTTTTAATGAAAGAGGCTTGAGTGTACATACCATTATTAAATAATTAATTTTATGATTCCATTTGTGTGCGTTTGTAAATGTGGAGTTCCAGCTGGGAGGATTTATGTTTAAAAAAAAAAAATAAAGTTTAGTCGTTGACAAGGGCAGGATACAAGTTACAGCGTATGATGTGAATCGTACAGGGTAAGAGATTCCTTGTACAGGGTAAGACATTCATTGTACAGGGTTCGACATTCATTGTACAGGGTTCGACATTCATTGTACAGGGTTCGAGATTCATTGTACAGGGTAAGACATTCATTGCACAGGGTAAGACATTCATTGCACAGGGTAAGACATTCATTGCACAGGGTAAGACATTCATTGCACAGGGTAAGACATTCATTGCACAGGGTAAGACATTCATTGCACATGATAAGACATTCATTGCACAGGGTAAGACATTCATTGCACAGGGTAAGACATTCATTGCACAGGGTAAGACATTCATTGCACAGGGTAATACAAACAATGTACAGAGAAAGACATTCATGGTACAGGGTAATACAAACATTGTACAGAGTAAGACATTCATAGTACATGGGAAGAAATTCATGGTACAGGGTAAGACATGCATTGCACATGGTTAGAAATTAATTGCACAGGCTAAGACATTCATTGTACAGGGTAATACAAACATTGTACAGAGTAAGACATTCATTGCACAGGGTAATACAAACATTGTACAGAGTAAGACATTCACTGCACAGTGTAAGACATTCTTTATACTTGGTAAGACATTTATTGTATAGGGTAAGACATTCATTTTACCTGGTAAGACATTCATTGTACAGGTTAATACATGACATTCATTGCACAAGGTAAGACATTCATTGTACAGGGTAAGACATTCTTTATACTTGATAAGACATTCATTGCACGGGGTAAAACATTCATAGCACAGGGTAAGACATTCATTGCACAATGTAAGACATTTCATCGTACAGGGTGAGGCATTCATTGTACATGGTAAGACATTCATTGTAATAGGGTAAGATATTCATCGCAGAGGGTGAGTTATCACATAAAATAGGTCACATTATGACACACGTGATGCAGATTGTATTCAAGGATTGTAAACAGATGTGCTGCCTTGGCCCTCCCCTGGAAACGCTAAAAATTAAATGTTCATAATTTTACTACGCATATTGAACATATTATACTATTTAACATATTACATAAGTTGGTAGAGATTTAAGTATCACCGGAGCATGCGGTGTTCCCTGCGGCCCTGCCCACCTACGTGCTAAATTCTTCTCTTTTGTTGCTGTTACCCTAACGCCCCTGTCTCTATATTATTATTCTATTGTTAATATCAGTTTGAAGACACGGAGAAGGAGCTGATGAGATCGACACTTGAAGAAAGAGTCGGCTCATTGGAACCCGAGAGACCAGACAAACTAACAAAGCTTTTCAAGTAAGACCCTTTGAGGACATTGCCATATTCTGTGCAACTTCAGTTTAAAGTAGGCCATTTAATAAGTGTACGACTTCAGTTTAAAGTAGGCCATTTAATAAGTGTACGACTTCAGTTTAAAGCAGGCCAATTAATAAGTGTACGACTTCAGTTTGAAGTAGGCCATTTAATAAGTATACCACTTCAGTTTAAAATAGGCCATTTAATAAGTGTACGACTTCAGTTTAAAGTAGGCCATTTAATAAGTGTACGACTTCAGTTTAAAGTAGGCCATTTAATAAGTGTACGACTTCAGTTTAAAGCAGGCCATTTAATAAGTGCATGACTTCAGTTTAAAGTAGGCCGTTTAAAAGTGTTCTTATAGCATCTACTTTAAATTGTGTTTACTCTATGGTTACATAATTTAAATAATAATTAGATTCACCTGAATGGGGGCGTCTACCCACTCCCCCCCCCGTTTTCTCACCCACCGAGGCCTTTGTCAATTCTGGCATCTCTGCATGGTATTTAAATCGAGATTTCCCTTCACTAGGATTATGATTATAAATAGTAGAAATACAAAAAATTTCAGTAAAAATTTTTTTTTAGAGCAGCGTTGACCATGGAATAAATGTTCCAAAAATAGATTTTAGTTGGCGTATAGATCAATTCTTTTATTTAATTCGTACACAAAACTCTTCACCTTAGCGTGACCGTAATGGTCGGGCGGTGTAATGTTGTGCGAGATCAAACTTTTGGATTCGGGTTCGATCAACAGCTAAGAAATAATTTTTTTTTTTAAATGAGAGTTTTAATACTTTTTTCTTTCCCATATTAATTACGTCATGAGGAGCACTTTAAAAATCCGGCATGAGGGATTTTATCCCCACCGTCAACTCAGAGTGGAAGCAACTGCTTCCATTCCACCCCAACCTCTGGGTAGACGCCCCTGTTAACGAAGCTGAGTATTTCATTTTTATGACGAATTACAATTAAAGCAGACTATTTTCATCGTGTTCTCTGACTTTAAATTGAATTATAATAATATTATTTATATTAAAAAAAAAAACACGTTTTAAGATGCAAGGATAAAAATAGCCAGAAGAAGTTGGAAGCAGAGCTTGACTACAAGGCTAGAGTAGAAGCCAAGGAAGCTTTGTTCAAAGTGAGTAAAAGGGGGGTTGGGGGGGGAGGGAGACTTCTAAATAATAATGTTGTTCTTGAATATCACCAATCCATTTAAAAAATATGTATAATCAGAATATATATAGACTTGATTCGCTCCCCTCCCTCCAAAACAATTGTCTTCTCTAGTAAATCCTCCTAAATTCCTCTGATTATAGGTCTGAACATTTTGGGTTTCCGGATTGTACGTGTGGGAATTTTAGATGCGTCAAAGAAAAATGCAGAATTTTAAGAGCTCGATTTTCCAAACGCCAATTATCGTAAACGATATCCGAGTTGCTCCCCCCCCCCACCCACACACACCTTTTCTCTATTTTAAAATATATATCTACCGTGCGCAGATCTTAAGGCATGGAGCATTGGCGTACAAACAATGGAAAAAAGTTCCTATCTCTGTTGTGGAACAATCCAGGTTATATCAAATTTAAAGCGGGAAATTGATGATTAGCTTATTTACATATAACCAAGTACAATAAAGCACCATATGCTTATAAGGCTCACCTAGATATTGTTATATCTACGTGTGAAGACCCTAGTGCTAACAGTAAATACATTTGGTCAAAACCCAACTAAACTGTGACCTTTTCTTATCCGTTTTTTTTTAGCCAAGTGTACAGCATAAATTTGATCACATTAAAATGTGCCCAAGTCCATTAATTAAACAAGACAAAATATGAAAACGATACACTTTTAAAGACGAAAAGAATAGTTGACTTTGATTATAACACAAAAATGTGCATATTTTGTGACTTAAGTATTTTGAACACTAAAGTCTTCAAATGCACTAACGTCTTTGACGCAAACGTTCCACTGGAGTATTGGATAATCGGGGAAAAAAATTAGGTATCCGAATCTTTACCGTCGCAAAAAATTCGGATCAATATGCTACTGTAGAAAAAAAAATTAATTAGCTAACAAAGTTCCCTCTAAGTTTTGTTGGTTCGTGTGGAAAATCAAACATTTGTGTGCAAAGTTTTACAGCATCAATTTTTTTGTGTGCAAAATTTTTCAGCCCACAAACACAAACACACACCTGCATGGAAATTTGCTGCGCGGTACTCAAAACTGCTGCGCGGCCGCGTAGCCGCGCAGCTTAAAGGAAACATTGTTAGCTACCACTTGATTTCGATCCCAAAGTAACATTGAAGTCTACTTAACAATTTTATATATTTATATCGAGTAATTTTAATAGACAATTTCATGGCTACGTCTAAAGGTGCTTAAAGGGGCTAATGAGAAAGACCCAGATAAAATAGACAGAGATGAGCTGGAAAAAGCTTTGATGGATGTAAGTACTCAAGAATGGCTGGTAAGACGATTCAAGTTTTCAGAAATAGTGGATTTTATGGATGTAAAGTTCAAGAAATAGTGTGTAAAATAGATGTCAGTTTCAGAAAATGGTAAAATAATTTATTTACTCGTATCTTATAATATTAATGTAACACCCAAAACCGCTAATATTTCTTAGTTCTTATTTTAGTTTGCAAAAGAATTTCGGAATTATCAATTTAAATGTATTGGGTGTTACACAAATTTAACTCTACTTTTTGGCTGGTTTGTGTGAAAAGAAAGAAGGAGATTAGTTTAAGACGTGTATATTTTTTTAATGGACACAATTCAACATAATTCAGTTTAAATTAGGACCTCAAAACTTTGTAGAGAAAAAGAAATTTTGTAAACTTATTAAGTTATCATAACTCCATTTCTATATCTTCTATTTGCAGGAAAATTTTTCAAAATTTAAACCTCTTCTTTTTGGAGAAGACGAAAGTGTTGAGATGATATTCAATACATTGGATGAAAATCATGATGGCAAAGTTGGTGAACATCAGCAAATATTAAACCCGCTTTCTTAACCGTTAATATTCCACATTTGTGTTGTGTATCACAAGTGTTAAACATTACTTCACTATCACATGTGTTAAACATCACTTCACTATCACATGTGTTAAACATCACTTCACACCGAGGTCACTTTAAAGAGATATTCTAGATTAACTGATTTATGATTTCGAAATCGTGTAATTTAATGGAGGAACATTTTCATCGGTACCGCCCACTTTGAGAACCCCTAGTGTAGAAGATATAACGGGTTGAGCAAAGTGAGCGGAAAATAGATACCAGATAGATAATTGGAAGATGAGAGAGTTATGTCAGCTGTAGGAGGCCGTACTTCCGTCTGTTCTTGTTCGTCCTTCGCATGCGAAGATGACCAACGCAATTTTTGACTTGAGCAGTGACCTTGACTTGAGGCGTATTTTGTTTAAACTGAGTGAGAGTCGCTCATTTCGTCAGCCTCACTCTCTCGTCCTTGCCTGCTTGCTCCAATGGCAAGGCTTAGTCAAGACGACTGGAACTAGACCAGGATGCACTAGATGACCAGCAGTGTGTATGTGTGTGTGTGTGTGTGTGTGTGTGTGTGTGTGTGTTTCACCGTGCTCTTTATGCGCTCTACATCTCATGAGTTGTCGGAATTTCACTTGTGTCAAGCTCATAAACACCTGCTGGACTCAATCTCCGGGTTTGATTTCAGTTTGCCTTCTCTTAGATGAGTTGCTATCCAAGGTTAACGAGTCCCATCCATGGCTTATATAATCTGAACAAAGTCGTATGTGTGGATACCGGTGTATTTTGTTATCTTACTGCCCAAACTAACAATACTAACTTAATCTCTTTGGTATCGATATACATGTCTATTGATATACATATATATCCATCCAGTGATTTTTTCTAGGGTTAGTGCCGCACGGAGATGGGGTGACCACTCTTCCACTATTACTACGCAGTTATACATATCAAGCACTAGCTATTGGCATTAAACCAATGAAGCACCTTTCCGCTAAAATCTTCATTGCAATTATATGCGCCCCCCCCCCCCCCCCCCCACATGTAGCTCTTTTGCTTTGTAGAAATTTCATTAAAATGAATCTCAAATATATTTCAACAGATTTCTTTCGCGGAGTTTATTCACTTTTGTGAGAAACACGGATACAGTAAGACGGTAAATGGCACAAAATAAAAACACCATTAGCAATTTTAGTCTTTGGATACAATAGATTTTAAAAACGATTTAATCATTTTAGGTTTGGGTTGGGGGGGGGGGAGTTTGGAAATATAATTTTTTTAACGTTAATTTTTCAAAAAACACATTGTTCACTATTCCAGAGTGGCCCACAGAGCTATTGGAGGAAGGACGTGAAATGTGTAACAGACTATCTGTCTGCAGTGCAGGACACGCTCTTAACAAACCTGAAACTTGTCTATTTCTTGGTAGGTGATACAGGCCTATTAATGTAAACATAAAGTGATGTAAGTGTGTAATGGGATGAGTTTATTTTAGGCAATTGTAAATCGGGTAAGGTGTATATTGGGTAAGTGTATAGCGTGGTAAATCTATGTTATTTGCAAATTTACAAAGATATCGGTTATATTTTGTGGTATTATGTTATATGTACGTTTTGGGATATCCATAAAGGTCAAGTTTTCCTGAGTGTTAGGGCTTCAAATATTTTGGATACCTTTATGTCTTGTTAAAAATAAACAATCTTGTCTCATTGAATCAAGACACCATCTTGTATCAATGAATTAATACACCATTTTACTCAATGAATCAATACACCATTTTGTCTCAGTGAATCAATACACCATTTTGTCTTGATCAATCAATACACCATTTTGTCTTAATGAATCAATACACCATTTTGTCTTGATCAATCAATACACCATTTTGTCTCAATGAATCAATACACCATTTTGTCTTGATCAATCAATACACCATTTTGTCTTGATCAATCAATACACCATTTTGTCTCAATGAATCAATACACCATTTTGTCTCAATGAATCAATACACCATTTTGTCTCAATGAATCAATACACCATTCTGTTTCAAAGAATCAATACACCATTTTGTCTGAATGGATAAATACACCATTTTTGTCTTAATGAATCAATACAACATGTAGTCTCAGTAAATCAATACACAATCTTGTCACAATAAAATCAATAAACGATCTAGTCTAAATGAATTTACATACCATTTTGTCTCAATGAATCAATATACCATCTTGCTCATTTCATCAATACACCCTCTTGTCTTAAAGACAGCCCTTAAACCCTTAAATTCTTTAAATTAAGCTTGTCATAAAATAATTATTTGAATATTATCTTAATTTTAAGGCTGGGGATAAAAACAGAACCGTTGGCATCAACACAGGCCACATAGGAACCTCAGACTACGACCTGGAGGAGGAAGACAGGAAGTTTATTGTGGAAGTAGGTCAAGATGAAACTTGATTACTTTATACAGAATGGAAAAAAATTCAATCAATTTAAATTATTTTAAAAGTTAATTGCAATTAAAGTCTTGTGGCATTTTTTTCTAGACATCGTTTTCGTAGAAAGAAATGTTTTTTTTCGGTACGCAATTCAAAAACAACAACAACAAAAAAAAAAACAAACAAAAAAACTATGATTCATATTTTAGCTGAATCACAAGAAACAAATACAATAATATGTTGATATAAATAGATTTCAAAAGAAATATGAAACATTTTTTTTTTTTTAAATTATTAACAGCACTGTTTTTTTTTAAAAAAAGGAATTAAACACAATTTAAAATGAGAAAAATAAATTATTTTCTTAGAGGGGAAAAAATTCGACCAAAGCTTTCTTTGAAGAATACAACCAAAGAGCACGGGAACAAAATTTGAATGGTGGGGCTGATCCTAATGGCGCAGCATCGCGTAAGTATCGTTACCTTTATGCACAAAACTATCTTCACATCTACTAACATTATGTCGATTATGATCATTGTGGTATCACTGATTTATTTTAAATAGTCAATGGCTAAACAGGAAGTACCAAACACAGGCTAGGGCAGTGGTTCTTAACCTTCCTAATGTCGCGACCCCTTATTACAGTTCCTAATGTTGTGGCTACCCCCCAAAAATTTTTTTTATTTTCGTTGCTAATTCATAACTGTAGAGTATGTGTGTTTTCCGATGATCTTAGGCGACCCCTGGGAAAGGGTCGTGCGACCCCCCCAAAGGGGTCGCGACCCACAGGTTGAGAACCGCTGGGCTAGGGGAAACCCCGCAAAAAGGCGAAACAAAACAACTATAGAGTCGGAAAATGTCTTTTTTCAGTGAACAAGAACAGTACCATTACAGAATGAAGAAATTCTTATCTCCGGTAGAAGTGTCCACAAATTGTTAATCATAAGTAATTACAATATTGATGATTTTGAAGCCTTCCTATTTTTTAATCTGTAGCAGGCTTTTCAGCATACTTGTAGTTTGTTAGCTGTAGTAGAATTTTCCGCCTACTTGTATAGCTTGTTATTTTTTAAGTTTGTTTTAAATCTTCATTCACCCATTCATATTTCCTATTGCTCAAACTAATAGCAATCTTCCAATTGTTAAACTTTTAGAGAAATAAACTCAAATTACAAGCAATTTCCTGAAAAATTTAACTTGATATCTGTTTTTGTTAATTTCTTCACAACAACGTATTAATCCCAGTTTTTCTTTTCTTTTCCCCGTGAATGAAGGGCGCAGAACTCTGTGAGGAAGGGAGATGTGATTAGTGCTAGTACCCTGGCTGTCACCTCATCGTCACTTATCACGGTCGGTGTCTTCCGTGCTGTCACTCGTCGTCACTAATAACGGCTGGTGTCTTCCATGACGTCACTTTTGGCGTTGTTTTAAGTCCTATATATGCATCTGCACGTGTTCAAATGTTCTTTAGCCTTCAAATTCGAAATTATGAATCATTTTAACATTTAAAAAAAAATAAATAAATGTATAATATGTGTAATAAAATAATTTAAATTGTAAATTATACTGTTAATAGCTGGTCATCCAAGCATGGAAAAGAAAAGCATCAGTTAGGTGTGTGTGGAAGGAAGTGATGAGGCAGGCCAAAGCCCTTTATGGGATGGGAGAAAGTTAATATATTAGCAACAATAAAGAAAGGAGTCATAACATTATTTACAATGCCCCCACCAAAAAAAAAAAGAACCCAACAAAAAACAACCCAACAAAAAACAACCCAACAAAAAAAAACCAAAAAAAAAAAAACCCAAAAAAAAACAACAAAACAAAAAACAAAA